AATATCACTCAACACCTAAAGCCAAGGCTATTTATGGATGATTCAACTGTCATTTTCATAAATGCTAACCAACTTTGTTCTAAATTTCACGGTGGAGACTGAACTAAACATTTTCTTATTGCTGACCGCTAACAGAGTGACCCTTAACGCTGAAGGAACGTATTACCTATTATTTGGAAGCAAGTCCACCAATCAAATTAAACTAAGAATTAATATTACCCGAATTGAGTACAGAGTAGATTTGAAATTCCTTAGTGTTCGAATTGACAATAATTTAAATAGTAATATAAAAATAAAACAAAACAGATTAAAAACAGTAGGCATTCTCTCCAAAAATCTACACTGCTTCGCTCTACCTTGGTATAATATATTGTTCACTCATCTACCCATATCTCACCTACGGTTTCAGTGTCTGGGTGATCAACTACACAAAGTTACCTTCCCACAACATAAAATCACCAATTAGAATGATATGTCTCATGCTAGCCACCAGAGGGAGCGGACGTGCTCTCGTGTTACTTCCCAGTTGACGACCTGAGCATTGAGGTTGCTCCTGTCGCCTGTGTGGTACCCTGCTTGTGCAGAGTGCACTTTTGCTATATAATGGGGTCCACTCTGCCTCCGCTTAAACGACCGATTTCAGCAGGACTTGAGTTTTGACGTCTGTGGACCATACAGCAATTGACATTGCACTGGTTGACGTGCTCTGTGTGACGATGACTGACCTGGTGGGAGTGCACTTGATTCAAGATCGTCGAGTTGTAGTGATAATTTTTTTCGGCTGGAGGTTTTCCGGCAGTTCCTTGATAGGTGTGAGGTGTGATGGTGCTGGTTCAGTGCGTGTGGTGAACCTAAGTATAAGACTGACATACGTGCCATTTCGTAGTGCACATTTTTAAATGTCAGATGGGCTGTTAAACCAGCTGTTTGGGCGGCATGGGAAGGTGTTAATTGTGAGGTGGAACAAAGTTTCCCCTGGTTATTGTAAAAGATTGCTTGCTGACACCAGGACGCTGGCGATGTCCCTGACACGGGATATCTCATCTTCGTTATCCCTGCTGGGGTTTACACTCTGCAACATGTATTTATGTCAGCCCAGTACCTGTTATCGGTGAGGTCTAGCCAGTCATCTGGTTGTGGCTTGCGACGTGGGGAGCCGATGTTCGGGTCAAATTCTTCCAGGAGAGTGATTTTTCGCCCTTCCTTTCCTGCAGTGACGGTCTTACTTCATGAAGGTCTGCGTTGAATCCCTCGATCATCCACAAGTGGTTTGGCAATATTCCTTCCCCCCCTCCTCCGTCCCATCCCAAATCCTTATCCTAATCCTTTCCAAGTGCTATATATTCGTAATGGCTTGGCACTCCCCCCCCCCCTCATTATTCCCCCTTCCCAGGAGGAATATTCTGACGTCTTGGTTGATGGTGTCGTCTTGCCTGCTAGCTGTTGAGCCTGTCCCTGAGGCTTGTGCGGAGCCGGTGGGGTGCCCAGTGCACCCGGGGGTTGCGTCGGGCTGGTGTGTGGGGCTGAGGCTCTGGCTCCTGGGCTATGAATGATGTCGTCAGTGTCGATGGAGATTCACAGTGTGCCGTCTGTTGTAGTGGTGGTACTGGCTTCCCTGGTTGAGTCTGCAGTGAGGAGCGTTTCTGGGGCATTTGCTTCGCCTGTGGGCTCTCTGGACGTGGGAGCTTCCCCCTCGTCGCGAGAGGCGTCTCCAGCTGCCTCTCCATTGGTGGATGTGCGTCCCCCTCGACGCCTGCAGGACCCATTGAGTTCGGATGAGCTGGTCCCTCAGCAGAAACGTAGGAGGGGGGGGGGGACTGCCAGGTCGCAGTCCCTTGGTGGTGAGGCCCCTGTGGTGGAGAGGGTGGATGATGAGGGACGGAGTGCGGTTGATGCTTTCCCGGTGCCTGCCCGCGAGTCCCCTAGTGCTAGTGAACAGAGGTTTGTCGTTGACCCTGGTGCCGGTGGTTGCGCTGATATGTGTTTGGTGTTTAAATGGGGGTCTGTTCTCTTGGGGCCATCGCTTCCTCGTGACCTCCTGCTACTCCTCATTTTTATCGCCATGATTTCCCATTGTCGAAGGGCAATTTGCCGTGGTTTGTATGGGCGAGCCCCAGTCGTTGACCCGTGTGTTCGGGGCTGTCTCCTCATATGCTAAGAGCGACGTGTGATTGTGTGTCTTATAGCGAGGTCTGGAGGTGTTTTCCTCCCTTGCTTGTGTCGGGTGTCTGTGTATGTGTGGTGTGCTGGTTACCATCTGGTTATAGTAAGTTGCTCTCTTAGGTCTAGTATAAAGGCCATTCCTGTGACCAATGTTTCGATGTGTTTTGTTCAGTTTGGATGTGGCTGTGTGACTGTTTGGGGAGCATGCTTCTCCTACATTGCCCTTGTTGGGTCGGTTATGTATTCTCCTGTTCCGTGTTATTTATGTTTTCCTGTGTATGTGTTGAATTTTCTGGTTGCCCTTGATGGGGTTGTTATGTGTTCTTCTGTTCCCTGTTTATTGTGTTGGTGGCCTTTGTATGTGTTTTTTTTTCACTGTTTCTTTTTATGTGGTACTGGTTGTTTTGAGTGCCTTTCTGTTGCCTATGATGTATTTCTGTTTACCTGTTCTGTGCACGCTAGCACTGTTCCTTGATGTGTGTACTGGCCTGTCCTTGGTGTATGTGTATTTTCTGTGTTATGTTTCAGTTTTTTTGTGTGTTTTGGCTTGTATAGTATCCTGTGCTGTTTGGTACTGTTCTGTGTATGCTTCCTTACTTCTATTATAAATATTTGCTGTTTTATAATAATAAAAACAAATTAAAACGACAATAAACACCCGTAGGAGGGAGTATTCAGCACCCTTAATGAAATCCTTGAATATTATAATATACATTCACTGTAAACACTCTCAAGTGTATTCTATATCCATAACATTGTGCACTGCAATATTAGTCCGGAACATAAACGTTTCCATAAGAGCTGTACAATACAAAAAGATGAGGAAAACTGTCGATTGATATTCTAAGAACGCGGACTAACTTAAGCAGAAGTTCCTTCACATTAAGGGTCCCAAACCTATTGTCTCTCAAACGAGACAAATCCTACTTCTCTTAACCAATTTGAAAGAGAAACTAAGAAATATTTAATTACCATCATTTAACAATTCTCACTTAAATTTCCTCATATAAAATAAGTAAACTTTTTGTTTTTGAACGCATTGAAAATATGTGTTATATCTGAACTGTTGCTTAAACTACATACTCAATAAAAAAATAGTTTATACCATTCATCGTTATCATTTATATATTGGAAAGAATTTGCAAAATTTATAGAACAATTTATTTGTTGACGTAATTTTTGTTTAGTATAAGTGTTTATCTAATTTAACATTTGGATAATTTAAATGAAATATTTTAAGTTTCACCCGAAACGCACTGTGTACCGTCCTGAATATAAATAGTTCAAAGTCACGTGGAGCTCTGTGTGGGGTCACTGCCGTCAGGTGGAGCTCTGTGTGGGGTCAGTGCCGTCACGTGGAGCTCTGTGTGGGGTCACTGTCGTCACGTGGAGCTCTGTGTGGGGGTCACTGTCGTCACGTGGAGCTCTGTGTAGGGGTCAATGTCGTCACGTGGAGCTCTGTGTGGGGTCAGTGCCGTCACGTGGAGCTCTGTGTGGGGTCACTGCCGTCAGGTGGAGCTCTGTGTGGGGTCAGTGCCGTCACGTGGAGCTCTGTGTGGGGTCACTGTCGTCACGTGGAGCTCTGTGTGGGGTCACTGTCGTCACGTGGAGCTCTGTGTGGGGGTCACTGTCGTCACGTGGAGCTCTGTGTGGGGTCACTGTCGTCACGTGGAGCTCTGTGTGGGGTCACTGTCGTCACGTGGAGCTCTGTGTGGGGGTCACTGTCGTCACGTGGAGCTCTGTGTGGGGGTCAATGTCGTCACGTGGAGCTCTGTGTGGGGGTCACTGTCGTCACGTGGAGCTCTGTGTGGGGTCACTGTCGTCACGTGGAGCTCTGTGTGGGGTCACTGTCGTCACGTGGAGCTCTGTGTGGGGGTCAATGTCGTCACGTGGAGCTCTGTGTGGGGGTCAATGTCGTCACGTGGAGCTCTGTGTGGGGGTCAATGTCGTCACGTGGAGCTCTGTGTGGGGGTCACTGTCGTCACGTGGAGCTCTGTGTAGGGGTCAATGTCGTTACGTGGAGCTCTGTGTGGGGTCAGTGCCGTCACGTGGAGCTCTGTGTGGGGTCACTGCCGTCAGGTGGAGCTCTGTGTGGGGTCAGTGCCGTCACGTGGAGCTCCGTGTGGGGTCACTGTCGTCACGTGGAGCTCTGTGTGGGGTCACTGTCGTCACGTGGAGCTCTGTGTGGGGTCACTGTCGTCACGTGGAGCTCTGTGTGGGGGTCACTGTCGTCACGTGGAGCTCTGTGTGGGGGTCAATGTCGTCACGTGGAGCTCTGTGTGGGGGTCACTGTCGTCACGTGGAGCTCTGTGTGGGGTCACTGTCGTCACGTGGAGCTCTGTGTGGGGTCACTGTCGTCACGTGGAGCTCTGTGTGGGGGTCAATGTCGTCACGTGGAGCTCTGTGTGGGGGGTCAATGTCGTCACGTGGAGCTCTGTGTGGGGGTCAATGTCGTCACGTGGAGCTCTGTGTGGGGGTCACTGTCGTCACGTGGAGCTCTGTGTGGGGTCACTGTCGTCACGTGGAGCTCTGTGTGGGGTCACTGTCGTCACGTGGAGCTCTGTGTGGGGTCAATGTCGTCACGTGGAGCTCTGTGTGGGGTCAATGTCGTCACGTGGAGCTCTGTGTGGGGTCAATGTCGTCACGTGGAGCTCTGTGTGGGGTCAATGTCGTCACGTGGAGTTCTGTGTGGGGGTCACTTCCGTCACGTGGAGCTCTGTGTGGGGGTCAATGCCGTCACGTGGAGATCTGGGTGGATCACTGTCGCCACGTGGAGATCTGGGTGGGTCACTGTCGTCACGTGGAGGTCTGGGTGGGTCACTGCCATCACGTGGAGCTCAGGGCGGGTCACTGTCGTCACGTGGAGATCTGGGTGGATCACTGTCGTCACGTGGAGATCTGGGTGGATCACTGTCGTCACGTGGAGATCTGGGTGGATCACTGTCGCCACGTGGAGATCTGGGTGGATCACTGTCGTCACGTGGAGATCTGGGTGGATCACTGTCGCCACGTGGAGATCTGGGTGGATCACTGTCGCCACGTGGAGATCTGGGTGGGTCACTGTCGCCACGTGGAGATCTGGGCGGGTCACTGTCGCCACGTGGAGATCTGGGTGGGTCACTGTCGCCACGTGGAGATCTGGGTGGGTCACTGTCGCCACGTGGAGATTTGGGTGGGTCACTGTCGCCACGTGGAGATTTGGGTGGGTCACTGTCGTCACGTGGAGATCTGGGTGGATCACTGTCGCCACGTGGAGATCTGGGTGGATCACTGTCGCCACGTGGAGATTTGGGTGGGTCACTGTCGCCACGTGGAGATTTGGGTGGGTCACTGTCATCACGTGGAGATCTGGGTGGATCACTGTCGCCACGTGGAGATCTGGGTGGGTCACTGTCGTCACGTGGAGATCTGGGTGGATCACTGTCGCCACGTGGAGATCTGGGTGGGTCACTGTCGTCACGTGGAGATCTGGGTGGATCACTGTCGCCACGTGGAGATCTGGGTGGATCACTGTCGCCACGTGGAGATTTGGGTGGGTCACTGTCGTCACGTGGAGCCAGATAAGTGTCGTATGTGTCCCAGATAAGAACGTATAACACATTTTTAAAGTGAATTATCTCGCTGCTGATCTGCTATAATATGAATGTTATGTTTTGTTATTGCAAGCCTCCAGTAAATTAGCTGGGTAATAGATAGATACTAATACAGTTAATACTCTCAATCTCTTCATCCGCTACCTTTGATTGACAATTTAAAGAGCTATTCGATACTTAAAACAAAAGTTACAGTTACCGTACATAATGCCCATTGAAGTACATATGCCATTTTTTTATTAGGCTTTTTGAACAATAAATTTCGGAGAAAAACATCCATACTTTTAGGATATCCAGGAATGGAAGGAATGGAAAATGTTTAACAATTTCAGGCCCTGTTGTATATTTTATAGTAAGGGTTTTATTATTAAGCTTCGCCAAAAACTATTCGGAGCTAGAATTAGATGTATTATATTCTTTAATTCTAACCACAATTTAATATCTCACACACACTCATAATTTTTGGAATACATTTGCATAGATTGTTTTGGATTCCAATTTCAGTACAGTATGGTGTGTTCTGGTGATGGCATCAGAGTGATGGTTGCAGTTGGGGTGCTATACGGTGCGTCTGTCGCGGGCCACGACGCAGGCAGACCCATGGAGGAGGTGGGCCAGGCAGTGGGCCAGATGGTGGGCCAGGTAGTGGACCACGTGGTGGGCCAGGTGCTGCGCGGTTGTCACCTGGTGGTCCTCACCACTACACAACACTCACACGTCACCTCCATCATACTCCGGTAACCTTTGTTGCTTTAAAATACAACAAAACATTCCCGTGTATATAAGACACGAGCTTGGATCAGGCGTCCTGTCATATATGTTGGTTATTGTAAACATTTATTCTAAAACACCTTATGAAGCTGAGAACCCATTATTAAAATTATTAATATCTGTAATTCCATCATGATATATAACAGCAAATTCATTAAGTGCTCCATAAAGTATTACGTACAGAGTAGCACAGTAACAGTAGCAGAGTAACACAGTAGCACAGTAACAGTAGCTGTGTAACACAGTAGCACAGTAACAGTAGCAGTGTAACACAGTAGCACAGTAACAGTAGCAGCGTAACACAGTAACAGTAGCAGCATAAAACAGAAGCACAGTAACAGCATAACACAGTAGCACAGTAACAATAGCAGCATAACACAGTAGCACAGTAACAGTAGCACAATAACAGTAGCAGAGTAGCACAGTAACAGTAGCAGAGTAGCACAGTAACAGTAACAGCATAACACAGTAGTACAGTAACAGTAGCAGAGTAGCACAGTAACAGTAGCAGAGTAGCACAGTAACAGTAGCAGCATAACACAGTAGTACAGTAACGCAGGAGCACAGCAACACAGTGTTACGGCCTAACTTAGCCAGTAACCGGGTTCTTTACTTGTTACATTGTATATGGGGCTTTAGTGCCTCCTACATGATCCCACCCCGGCCCATATATGGTGGGCCGGTAAAAAGAAGGTCAGTTATCCAGAACTGATAGTAACTAACTGTAATAATAAAATTGTGAAAGGAAAAGAGGGTAAACCATTCAAACAGAACCTTCACCAAGTGTATTTTGACCAGACCACACACTAGAAGGTGAAGGGACGACGACGTTTTGGTCCGTCCTGGACCATTCTCAAGTTGATTGTGTCGACAATCGACTTAAGATAGGTCCAGGATGGACCGAAACGTCGTCGTCCCTTCACTTTCTAGTGTGTGGGCTGGTCAACATACTTTAGCCACGTTATTGTGGCTCATCGCCTTCACCAAGTCTACTTCTTAAATATATATTCATATCCGTACATAACATCACACTGCTAGTGTCACTTTCGCAGGAGGGCACTGTAAAACTCTCGGAATCTTCTTTTCCCGGCTAGTCGACTTTGTCTTCTATTGATCACTACTCAAGTTTCACTCCCCGAGTCTGTCTTCGATGGTCCTCACGTCGGCGAGTTCACCTTACTCACTAAAACTTGGGCCAGTCTTACACAGTATCGTCACTGTTCAAAACACCACTTCTACTCTCCAGCAGCACACCGGCAGAACTCCACGTAGGCCTACAACAAGCCTTAACAGACGGCTAGTACTTCGTCTCGTAACTCAATCTGCCTATCCCGGGGTACGTCGGCCCAGTCAACAATACTTCACTAAGTATCTCCAGACAAATCACTGTCTATACGGACGTGGCCACTGGTTCCCGCTGGGAACGAACACGTGTTGAGTTCAGGACTGTCATGGATAAACAGCTTCCTGCTGAACAGGATACTCTCCACATCATTTCTGTGGACAAAAATGTGATTAGTGAGACAGACACTACACCGGGGTCAAATACGATCACAACCTTCCATCGGGTAACAGAATATGAGGATCGGAGGTGACGCTCAACAGATGGCGTTGTCATTGCCACACTTCCCTCAACAGATGATGTCGATATCGCCACACTTCCCCTCCTAAAATAATTTGTTTTAGCTTATAAAACAAAAACAAATTAGCATTGTAGATGCGTGACAAGGCATCTGCTTACACATTCTCCACTCTTCTAATGTGTTCAATACAGAGTGCATACTGCTGGGGGTTGTAGACTCCATTCAGGGGGGTAGAAATAACCTAAGCTACTCTATCCCTTTGAGATGTATTTCTTTCTTATCTCAATAAACATATTTGAACTTGACTCCATTTAGTTAACCTGAGATTCTTATGATGGAAGGATTATGGTCAGATCTGAAAAAAATTGGATGCTTCTTACTTATCAAATAGACATCAAATTGTTGCACAGCGCTCACCAGGGCCAATGTTTCTTTTTCTATCACTGAATAATTCCGTTGACAATCTCTTAATTTCTTGGAATAATAAGCCACAGGGTGTTCTATCCCTTTAGCATCACTCTGTGACAATATTGTCCCTATGTCGTAGTCTGAAGCATCGATAGTTAATATGAATCTGACATCGAAATTAGGGGACATGAGAATGGGACTTTTAGGCTCTTAAAAGCTAATTGACAGTCCTTGGTCCACATGAACTGTGTTCCATTCTTCAGGAGATTTGTCAAAGGAACTGCAATAGTTGAGAAGTTAGGGACGAACTTACGATAGAATCCGGCCATTCCCAGGACCCACAGGACCTCATTATGTGTTAAAGGGGTCGGGTACTAAACGATGGCTTCTACGTTGCTGTTCTTCGGGGCGATCCATCCTTCACCAATCACATGTCCTAAAAAGATAACCTTCTTGCGGGGATTTGGTCGGTAGGGATGTTACTTTATTGGTCTCATGTCCTCCTCAAGGAAAACGTCGTGCTTCAAGACGGTCATCAGACCTGGAGCATCTCTGAAAAATTTACTTATATTGCGTTATAAACTCCGTGAAGGATCGCTGCTGCTCCTCAGGAACGTGAGTTAACTTGGTAGGTAGATTCAGCAGAATCTCTGAAGTCGATGCTACTTGCTTACCAACATCCTCCATCACCGCCTGGTCTTGGTCGCAGGTGACCAGTATCTTCAGTGGGCGAATGTCCCGTCCTTGGTACAACTTCACCATGTTCACGTGTACCAACATCTGCTTCTTCCTTCTTTTTGGAGTGCTAAGAATATAGTTAGCAGCATTAACTTTCTTGAGAACAGGGTAAGAACCAATAAATGTGGTACTCAAACTTCCTGTTACCGCTGAAGAATATACCAGTACTAGGTCATCTACCTGAAATTTCCTGGGTGTTGTTTTGCTGTCGTATTTCTTCTTGACAGTTAACTGAGAATGTAAGAGGTTCTCTTTGACTAGTTCCCATGCAGTAAACAACCTGCCTTTGTGTGTAGATAACCAGTCCAGTGCATCCATGTTGCTCTCTTTGTCCGTCCACTGGTCCTTGATAACCTCCACTGGTCCTCTCACCGTGAGACCATACACCATCTCGAGTGAAGATAGACCCCAGTGACTCATTTGGCATTGATCTTATGGCAAAGAGGAGGTAAATACAGAAGACTCAGAAGAAATATCTGACTAGGCAATGAATAACTTTCGCAATCCTGCAATGTCCATAATATACTCCAGCATGGGCTGTTCCCAGCAGCTTGGTCCTGAACACTGAGGGCACGGCTACCTGCATACCTACTTCTGGAGTCTGGGGTGTTCTTTGTCGATACCTCCGACACAGTACCTTATCCTACCAGAAGCACTGGTCACCTGCCTTTGCACTAGACTCTATGGTATCTGTGACTGCTTGCACCTGGGAGTCCTTCTCCTGCTCCGTAATTAAGGTTGCCCTAGTCCAATGCTTCCGTTCAAGAGTAAAGTCTAAAGAGTTAGATATAGTACTGTTGGCAGCCTATGAGGCAGGTGTAGGGTTGAACAAATCATCCACTCTCATCTGAGTCTTTACCAGGGATCAGGTTTGACTTGCTGTTACTGGCTTTACCACATCTTCTACAGGATCTGCAACAACTATAGAATGGTTCCTGTCCAAAGCTAAGCCATTGGCCAGTATTACCTCAATCCCTTCAATGGGAAGATCGTCTACTACTGCCAATGAACACCTGCCATTGAAATATTGCGAGTCCAAATGAACATCTACTAAGGGAGCAATGTACAAAGTCGAGGGAAACTCACCTAAAATGACTTTACTTCGCACTAGTAGGCACTTCCTTGGGTAACGAGTTCTTCAAAATCAGAGATGGGGCTGCTCCACAATATCTCTGAAAATTACTACTGACCTGCCAGTCTTGTCACTCGATACATACCCTGTCAAAGTGTATGGGGCAAACAATCCTGGTTTCTACTTATCCTGATCCCTTCCAAGTGCTATATCGTCATAATTGCTTGGCGCTTTCCCCTTGATAATTCCCTCCCTCCCTCATATATGTCCACAGTAGAACGGGTTTCCACTGGCGGTGTTACACAACTCACCAGCATAACTTCCCTTTGCAGGTCGTTACCTGTCCTGCGCTTACACTTAAGCAGACACGTGTCCTTTTTTCCCTGCATGTCCAACACACTACGTCTCTTCTTGGACTTGTTTGCCTTGGACTACATGAGGTTGTCGTCAAGGCATCATGCGGAATGGTTCTCTCCTCCTGCTTATACTTGGTAAAAGATTTTTAGTTGGTCTTTGAAGCATATCTGGTAGAGGGGCTTTGGAATAAATTGTATTCTTCAGCCATAGTGGCTGCAGCACCCAAAGTCTCTACTTGCTTTTCTTCCAAGTACGCTTTAAGATTACCTGATAGACACTTCTTGAAATTTTTCAACAGAATAAGTTGTTCCAGATGCTCCTTACTCTCAACCTTCCTAGACGCCCACCATTCGTAAAACAACTGCTCCTTAATGCAAGCAAACTCTGTAAAAGTGTCCTCTGCTGTTTTCTTAAAGTTACGAAACGTCTGTCTATGTGCTTCAGGCACTAACTTGTAAGCCATCATCACCACCTTCTTGACAGCGTCATAGTCATTCGAGTCACTTACTGACAGTGTGGAGTTCGTTGTTTATGCTTTCCCAGTCAGCACTGATTGAATCATAATAGCCCAATTTTCCCGCGACCAGTCAAACCAGGCAGCTACTTTCTCGAAGGCAGCAAAGAACTTGGACACCTCTTTCTCATTGAATTTAAGCACCATTTTTAAAATCTGCAGCGGGTCGAAACCACCTGATTTTTTTCTACCTCCTAATCTTAGCACTTCCAATTCGTGTTGCCTTTCTCTCTCATCCCTTTCTTTCCTGTTTTGTCACTCTCTCTCTATCTCTCTCTCTCTTCCCTTTTTCTCCTTTCTTATTTTTCTTTCTCCGTTTCTTGTCTCTCTCTCTCCCTTTCTTCTCGTTCTCTCTTTCTGCCTCTCTTCTCTTTCCAATCGTTTCAATCTGATTCTATGTTTAATTTAAATTTCCTACTCTTCTCTTTCACTCCTTTCATCTCTCTCTTTCTCTTCCCTTTCTCTCCTATCTTCTCTTTCTCGCTCCCTTCTTCTCTCTCTAGTTCTGTCTTTTTTCCATTCGAATTCACGATGTATTTCAAATTCTCGCATTCTCACTGTCAATAGGCTCACATTTAGTTCACTTGGGTCACTCTCACCATCACTTCATTGGTCTTCCTTTTCAGTGGAATTCATGACACTCGCTACTTTGCTACGGACTACACTTTCTGGTTTGTCATCTGGTTTCAAATGCCAATACACTTTTGATGGGATCTCGACACGTTAATCCCGTTCTTTCACTTTTCACTAGTTCCGGTTTCCTCTAAGAACTTCAATTTGGAGAGGCAGTTCTCCTGGTTTAAGAACTCCTGAACATCGTCCAGTGTATCTATTGCAGTTTTCTCCACCTTTGCTCACTCTCTAAACACAGCAATTAAACACAAAAGGAAGCTGTACAAGAAGGTTTCACCAATCACTTGCCTGGTTCGGTCTAACTTACCTAACAAGAAGTCGGATCCCGCTGGAGATGCTAGTTATGTTACGACTTCACTTAGCCAATAATCGGGTTCTTTACTTATCAAAGTGTATATGGAGACTACGTGCCTCTGCCTGCTTTAACCCACCAAGAGTCATAGATAAATTATTAAGAACTGGCAGTAGTAATAAATCTAAAGGAAACGGGAAGTACACCACACCAAACAGATTAATCACCAAATGTACCTCTTAACTAAATATATACATTTTTTCATGACCTAACACTAAGGTGTCACTTTTGCACAGGACACTATAAAACTTCTGCATTCTTCTTTCCCGGCGTGTCCACTTCTTTCTTCTATCGTACATCATTCAAGGTTTCTTCCCTGACTCTGTCTTCAATGAACCTCACGCCAATGAAGTTCACCTTTCTCAGTAAATCATGGGCCAGTCCTACATGGTATCGTCACGGTGCCAAAACCCACCTCCTTTACTCTCTAGCAACACGCTGGCAGGGGTCTCCAGCAACACCCTGGCAGATGTCTCCAGCAACACACTGGCAGAGGTCTCCAGCAACACCCTGGCAGAGGTCTCCAACAACACACTGGCAGAGGTCTCCAGCTACACACTGTAGAGGTCTCCAACAACACACTGGCAGAGGTCTCCAACAACACACTGGCAGAGGTCTCCAGCTACACACTGTAGAGGTCTCCAGCAACACACTGGCTGAGGTCTCCAACAACACACTGGCAGAAGTCTCCAACAACACACTGGCAGAGGTCTCCAACAACACACTGGCAGAGGTCTCCAGCTACACACTGTAGAGGTCTCCAGCAACACACTGGCTGAGGTCTCCAACAACACACTGGCAGAGGTCTCCAGCAACACACTGGCAGAGGTCTCCAGCAACACACTGGCAGAGGTCTCCAGCAACACACTGGCAGGGGTCTCCAGCAACACCCTGGCAGAGGTCTCCAACAACACGCTGGCAGAGGTCTCCAGCAACACACTGGCAGAGGTCTCCAGCAACACGCTGGCAGGGGTCTCCAGCAACACACTGGCAGGGGTCTCCAGCAACACCCTGGCAGAGGTCTCCAGCAACACACTGGCAGAGGTCTCCAGCAACACACTGGCAGGGGTCTCCAGCAACATCCTGGCAGAGGTCTCCAGCAACACCCTGGCAGGGGTCTCCAGCAACACCCTGGCAGAGGTCTCCAGCAACACCCTGGCAGAGGTCTCCAGCAACACCCTGGCAGAGGTCTCCAGCAACACCCTGGCAGAGGTCTCCAGCAACACACTGGCAGAGGTCTCCAGCAACACACTGTCAGAGGTCTCCAGCAACACACTGGCAGAGGTCTCCAGCAACACACTGGCAGAGGTCTCCAACAACACACTGGCAGAAGTCTCCAGCAACACACTGGCAGAGGTCTCCAGCAACACTGGCAGAGGTCTCCAGCAACACACTGACAGAGGTCTCCAGCAACACACTGGCAGAGGTCTCCAGCAACACACTGGCAGAGGTCTCCAGCAACACACTGGCAGAGGTCTCCAGCAACACGCTGGCAGGGGTCTCCAACAACACACTGACAGAGGTCTCCAGCAACACACTGGCAGAGGTCTCCAGCAACACACGGGCAGAGGTCTCCAGCAACACACGGGCAGAGGTCTCCAGCAACACCCTGGAAGAGGTCTCCAGCAACACACTGGCAGAGGTCTCCAGCAACACACTGGCAGAGGTCTCCAACAACACACTGGCAGAAGTCTCCAGCAACACCCTGGCAGAGGTCTCCAGCAACACACTGGCAGAGATCTCCAGCAACACACTGGCAGAGGTCTCCAGCAACACCCTGGCAGAGGTCTCCAGCAACACACTGGCAGAGGTCTCCAGCAACACACTGGCAGAGGTCTCCAGCAACACACTGGCAGAGGTCTCCAGCAACACACTGGCAGAGGTCTCCAGCAACACACTGGCAGAGGTCTCCAGCAACGCACTGGCAGAGGTCTCCAGCAACACACTGGCAGAGATCTCTAGCAACACACTGGCAGGGGTCTCCAGCAACACACTGGCAGAGATCTCCAGCAACACACTGGCAGAGGTCTCCAGCAACACACTGGCAGGGGTCTCCAGCAACACACTGGCAGGGGTCTCCAGCAACACACTGGCAGAGATCTCCAGCAACACCCTGGAAGAGGTCTCCAGCAACACACTGGCAGAGGTCTCCAGCAACACACTGGCAGAGGTCTCCAGCAACACACTGGCAGAGGTCTCCAGCAACACACTGGCAGAGGTTTCCAGCAACACACTGGCAGAGGTCTCCAGCAACACACTGGCAGAGGTCTCCAGCAACACACTGGCAGAGATCTCCAGCAACACACTGGCAGAGGTCTCCAGCAACACACTGGCAGGGGTCTCCAGCAACACACTGGCAGGGGTCTCCAGCAACACACTGGCAGAGATCTCCAGCAACACCCTGGAAGAGGTCTCCAGCAACACACTGGCAGAGGTCTCCAGCAACACACTGGCAGAGGTCTCCAGCAACACACTGGCAGAGGTATCCAGCAACACACTGGCAGAGGTTTCCAGCAACACACTGGCAGAGGTCTCCAGCAACACACTGGCAGAGGTCTCCAGCAACACACTGGCAGGCTCTCCAGCAACACACTGGCAGAGATCTCCAGCAACACAAAGGGAGGCTTCCACCCAGGCTTATTACCAGCCATAACAGACGGACAGTCCTTCTATTTCGTAACTCAACTTGGCAATCCCGGGGTACGTCGGTCCAATCACCAGTACTTCATTAAGTATTACTTACAACTCACTGTCAACACCGACTCGGCCACTTGTTCCCGCTGGAACACGTCTTGAGTTCAGGACTGTCCTGACTGAACTGATTCCTGACGACCAAGATAACACATCACTTTTGCGGACTAAAATGTGATTTGTAAGGCAGAAATTGCACAGCGGTCAATAAGATCACAGCCTTTTAACGGGGAACAGAAGATGGGGTCGGATGCGCTCAACAGATGGTGTTGACATCGTCACACCTCCCATTATAAAAGAATTTGGGTCAGGTGCACTCAACAGATGGCGTCGATATCGTCACACACAACCACTCCTGACTTACACTCAGCAACACACACAACCACTCCTGACTTACACTCAGCAACACACAACCACTCCAGACTTACACTCAGCAGCACACAACCACTCCTGACTTACAGTCAGCAACACACAACCACTCCAGACTTACACTCAGCAACACACACAACCACTCCTGACTTACACTCAGCAGCACACAACCACTCCAGACTTACACTCAGCAGCACACAACCACTCCTGACTTACACTCAGCAGCACACAACCACTCCAGACTTACACTCAGCAACACACAACCACTCCTGAGTCACACTGAGATACAGATGGAAAACATTATTAATTAATAACATTTTACAATGTTTACACTACTCCATATTATTACAAGCTCAATACACTGAGAGCTGGAGCCTGTTACTCAGAGTACATACACTGAGAGAGTACTCTTGATGGTGTATTACACAGGCACAACATAATACTTAATTAATTTAAGCCTAATGAATAATATTATACAAAACACTTAAATTTTAAATGAAAAATAGTTCTTAAATAATTTGTAATTTTGTTTAATATAACTTTTTCATTTCTAATTTATATATTCTTAAACTTGATAATAGTCCTTTGGTCCCTGAAATTTGACCATAAGAACCCATCGTGTTATGTACATGTACAATCACTCAACCTTACCAATAAGAACTGAACTATAACTTATGCTCTTTTACTTAAGGCACAGTGAAATATTGGTGGTGTCTAGCGTTGTCGTGGACGTTGAGTCGCTGTTCTCCCATCACCTTCAACCCCCATTGGACGACCTGTCGGCCGAGCCCGTGAGTGAAACTACTCCCCAGCCACCGTCCGGGGAACTCTCACAACGCCAGCCAACTGAGAACCAGCCACGTCAACACCAGACACCACAACAGCACCTCGAACTAGACAACCTTCTCCAGGGGCTGTGGGGAGACTCGAGAACCACCTGCCGGGGTCTTCTTCTCGACCTCACCTCCAACAACAACAACACTCATCTTGCACTCAGGTATCTGGTACTCTACAGTGATTACTGAAGATATAACACTTGTTGATGTCATCTTCGACCTACTTATATTGGCATGACCACCACAAAGCTTTCGAGAAGACTGACCTGCCATCTCCAAGCTGGTGCCCCTAGAAACGTATGTACACTTTGCCTATGCAAAGTGTACATAACACAACACTCTCTAGGAATATGCAAGAAGATAATGCAACACTCCTGGCATCACCTCTGAACAAAGGTGACTGCAAATCCTGGAAGCTATACTCATAAGAGGAAAAAGACCGACTCTAAATATACAGAGTAACGACGTTGATAACTTGCGTACGTTCAAATTCAGACCTCACCTTAAGCACTGAATAACAGCCCAAGTTCTCCCCGGCCACCGTCTTACACAATGTTTGACTGACATCAATCCCCATTGTTTCCTCGTGTTTTTACTATGTGTGATTATTTCATCTTAACCCACACAACTTCACCTCTTTCACATGTGTATTTAGGATAAACTTCACCTTGTATATGCACTTTGTATATTACGGGCTATTCATACCCGTGCCACCTCTTGGGTGGCTTAATCTTCATCAGTCAATCTTGTATGTTCATTTCATACTTAAAGACGTGACAGAGACGAACGAAACGTTGTAGAAAAATAATCCCTTCAATAATTACTAAAAAAAAAATTCACCTTGAATTTTGGTAGCTTGTTTTCTCTTCTGAATCTTGAGGGTAAGAAAGTAGTAAGCAGCATAGAAAGCTTATATGCTTTCTGTCTTAAAATAAACCACAGAAAGCTTGTCCAGTGAGTTCAACATCTGGTTTTTGGACGACGGCACTATAGTTAGCCCCTTAGACCCCCCCCCCCCCCTCTTGAAGGACATTAGAAAAATAAAGGAGCAAGAGGTATACCTGGGTATCTCCCGAAGCCCCTCCATGTGTGAAGTAGTCTTCTCAAACCCAGACATCATAGCTAGACTAAGATCCGCCTTGCCCAGGGCCCACGTCATTAAGTCTGTGAACAGGACTCTTCTTGGAGCCCCCCCCCCTCCTTCTTAGGTCTAACTCCATTGAGGAGATCCTCGATAAGAAAATCACAAACCTTGGGAGGATGGAAGACAGGATAGGTGTCATCGATGCTCACGATGCTTTTTATCTCCTCACTAGATGTCATCTCTTCAGAGGCTAATCTACCTTCTGAGGTGCGCCCCATCTTACAGCATCCCAAAGCTTGAAGAGTATGACTTTCTACTGAAGACCATGCTAGAATAGGTTGTCAGCCTTTCCCTCAATGGCTGTCAGTGGAAACAAACAGCTCTTTCAGTCAGGATTGGCAGCCTGGGTGTCAGCATTGCCACCCAAATTGCTGTCCTTCCTCTTTAGCATCAGATGATCTGGTCAAAGAAATTCTAACCGACAGCCTATGTGACTTAGCGGGGATATATGACCCCCATTACAGGAAATGCAATGCAAAGTGGAGAACCATGGCAGGCCCAGCACTCAGACCAACCATGCTGAAAGCCAAGTAACAATCCAGATGAGACAGCCTCATTGTAGACAAAGAAGCCACAGCTTTGCCAGAGGCAGTAACAACCCCCAATGATTTTGCGTGCCTCACTGCTGTGCAGGCTCCCCATACAGAGGACTTCCTTTTGGCAGTCTCAATGTCTGCGACAGACACACGTCGTGATCTGCAGCAGATCCATATTGCACTCGCTCTTCGTCTTGCTGCCCCCATCCACACTGTTCATAGGGGTTTTTGCAGGTGAGGTAGATGCATACGAATATGGATTTCATGGCCTGCACTATGGAAAATCAGGTGGTTGTATCAGGAGGGTTGGGTATTTTTCCCATAAAGAGGAGCTCTGGTTGTTGCACCAAACTATTACTTGCATACAGGTGAATAGAGACTCCAATCATTCCCTGATAGAAAAACAGCCGACCTCGGCAACTACACTCCCGCTACCGTCAGTTGACCAGCAATGGACACTGGAGTGCTTGCAATTTACCTCGGAGATCACCCTGGACGCTTCTTGATCTTGGAGAGGGATTCAGCGTCACCTTTATTTAGGGGTGCGGCTCCAAAACTGTCCTCGTTGTCTTGTGTACACACCCTACTTGAACTGCCATGACTCCCAGCGCTCTCCTTGTTTGAGATGATTTCGTAAATCTTTTTTTAGTGAATTATTGTCTACTGTCACCCTGTCTGCAACCGTGACCCTCTCTCTCTCTCTCTCTCTCTCACTTTCAGGGGAACCTCACCAGGACAAGAGCAAAGACCATCTGTTAACAAACATTTATTACTTAAAAATGTACACAACAATTACTATACAACAGTCTAAGCTGTTACAAACCGGTAGCACATTAATCATATCCTGACTTCACCAACTATTTATATCAGGCTGCAGCATGACCCTTGGCATACGACCTACCACACCCTCACTGAATGAGGCTGAAATTCATGACTCCACAATAATATACCTTCATCCATAAAAGAATATCAAACACTGATTGGGGTTGAAATACCTGGAACATGCACATACGTATCCCCAACAAAAAAGAAATTAATCTCTCACCTTACACTGCGTCTTACATGCCAATAAGCAATAATGCATTCCCATCATACATTACTGTGTTCACATGATCCTCCGTTCTGCTCCTTGAGGCCTCCTACCAATTGTCGGAGTTCATCGGTAAGCGACAGTATAAGTACTTAATCCTGGCAAGGTCGCCAATGTCGGGGTTCACCTCCAATGAGAGGGGAAAGGGGCGAGTAACAGTATACTCAAGGTCACTCACCGTAGCCCTGCAGGTCTTCACTCTATCCTCACCGCGCCACTGTACGCCAGGAGAGTATCCCAGTCAATCCCAACCGGCCTCTGATCGAGAAGGAGTGGGAACACAACTTGTTCTCTTAACTATTGTGTGCCCGCCCCGGCATGGGCTCTACTACTAACCACAAGGTCGCCAACTGGTGTTTCCGGTGTCCAGTAACACGTCAGTGGTTTTGTTGAATTGTGGTAACAGTGGCAAGGACACACTCAATAGATCTGATATCAGGCAGGTATTTACTTCTATCACTATTTGCTTTCAGGTTTTATATAGCCACAAGAAATATGGAGGGGATGATATAAACACCAATATACTTTGTATTTTACTTAAAACTCATTCAAAGACATCACAAGATTATATCAATAAGCAAACAGCTGTTCCAGGCGGAAGTCGCTCGTTCCCACATATAATCATGAACTTGCCAATCTGGCAATGCTCCCTCTCACGTCAATGTCAAAATCAGCTGGGCGACTCCCACCGCGTGAATGTTCGTGTATTTGTTTGCCTGTGGCGTGAGGAGCCTGTTTCTTTAAATTCTCAAAGATCACTAAAAGTTCGAACACACAATATTTGCGACAATAGCACGTAAATACTTCGCTGCACTGATCTTGAGCTCAATCAAACATTTCTATATTAGTGGACACAATAATTCACTAATATGGCATAACACACTGCCCTTCATTTAATGATAACGTATGCAAGTATATATCACTGGAGTTCTCAGTAATTCCTTTCATGGGCGATAACACAATTAATCACTGCACACATGAATGATTATTCAATACACAAGCATAGACATATATATATATATATATATATATATATATATATATATATATATATATATATATATATATATATATATATATATATATATATATATATATATATATATATAGTCCAACTTCAGAGGAATTCGAAGAAGTGTTTGACTTGCAACAATGATCGAACCCGTCTGTGATATTCATCAATGTTTCCCATTGTTGTGTTATTCAAGAGATCCATAACCTTTAAGCACCTTTTTGCATTATTATTTTTGTATCAACCCATGTATATCTTGTAACCATCAAATGCATAATAAAGCACAAAAAATAAAAAAGGAAGGGGGTGGTAGGAGAAAAGCACACAGAAACTGTATTGGAGGGGATCTAAACATTCCCTCTAATGCGTTATGCGTGGTTTCCTCCGAGGCTATGGGTCCCCCTTCCTCCAGCTAGAGGTGGTACTCCCTTCCATATATTAAAAAAAAAAAATATATATATATATATATATATATATATATATATATATATATATATATATATATATATATATGGATGAATCATAGACATCAATAATGGTAATAACATAGTTACTGGGCACATAGCCTAACTCCAAATACTGGCATATTTATATATATATTCTCTCACTAAATGATCATATTAAAGTCTCATGAAAGACATTATCAACACAGTAAATTGATCAATTACTCCGGGTGCCTGCACACACCAATAATAATAATAAATACCTCTATTTACTCTCTATGTAGTCCCACTCTGCACACTGGTGCCTTACTGTGACATAGGTGAGCCTTGCTCACGACATACAAAATACTCTGGCTAAATAATATAGCTGACTAAAGGGGAATTGGGAGGGAAACTAGAATCACCTACTTCCACCTATCCTCCGGTGAGAGTTGAGTTGTAGCTCCTGGTCCAGGCTCCTGCCTCGTGTAGGGAACGCCCCCCCCCCACACACTCTGTCGTATCCTCCAGGAACTCAATCAACGTCCCACCATAAACGCGTTGTCTCCGTTTCTTTCCACTGCTGGTCCGTGCTCCTCCTCCACGACTTGTAGGGTTGGAGTCGGTCTCCCGGCTGTCAACTTCTCCTCCCAGCTACGGCTGCCTGCCTACGTCTCAGCTGCAGTTGTTCGGATTCCCGATTAGTGTCTTCTTCACTGCCTCCCAGTGGATTGGCCCAGCCGCTACGTCGTCACTGTGAAGCTATCAGACGTCCCAGACGATACTCCCTAGACTCCACCTGCACAGCACCCGATCCTGGAGCACTTGATGCTCAATATTCCGTCAATTCCCTCTTCGGTCCACACATGGAATGAAGGAAGACCTCTGGCGTACTTGCAGACTATGGGTGACGCGTAAGATACACGGGGTGGCGTATTACTGTCAGATTGACAGGAT